ATATATATATATATATATATATATATATATATATATATATATATATATATATATATATATATATATATATATATTATTGTATTGTATATATATATTATTATATATATATATATATCAATAATTGCATCAATAATTGCATTTAATCCAATATATGTATATATATATATATATATATATATATATGTATACATATATACGTATATATATATATATATATATATATATATATATATATATGTATATATATATATATACACATACATACATAAGCTATATATATATATATATATAAAAAGCGCAGAGAAAAAGCGATGTCTTCAGTAAGAAAAGTATGACGAAATTTTTAGGCTTAACTTTTGACTTCTCTATCTTTTAATTCTCAAATCTTGTAACTTGTATAAAATCTTGTAACTTGTATAAAAGTTACAAGATTTGATCAAAGCTAAGACATGAGAATTACAAAATTCTCATGTCTTGTAAAATACATCAAATCTTGTAACTTGTATAAAACTTGTAACTTGTATAAAAGTTACAAGATTTGATCAAAGCTAAGACATGAGAATTAAAAGATAGAGAAGTCAAAAGTTAAGACTACAAATTTAAGTTAGAGGTTGAGGAGAGAGAAGAATCAGCCAAGAAAACGTGTGATGGGGGTAACATTTGATAAGCTGTTGCGGAGTACCAAGAAACATTACCTCAGATTTTTGGAGATTTAGTTGAAGAAAGTTTGATAAATGCCAATTGTTCAGCAACTGTCGAGGTTTCAGCTCGAGGAAATGGACATAGCAGGGTCCACATTGCCTATCGCGGATGCGATCAAGTTGCTTGGGGTCACTTTTGACAGACATCTAAATTTTTATAAACACATATCAGAAATCGTCAGATCCTGCAACTATCACCTCTGCGCAATAAGCCATATTAGACATATGATTACATGTGATGTTGCTGCTGCCCGTTGCGGATGTTTGATCCTTTCTAGATTAGACTACTGCAACTCCTTATTGTATGGGGCCTCACGTGCATCTGTCAGAAAGCTACAGACTATCCAAAATAAAACTGCTAGACTGATATTTAATAAACCTCCTCGTTTTAGTTCTTCCATTCTCTTTCCAATGCTTCATTGGCTTCCAATTTCCGCTCGAATCATCTTCAAAATTGCAGTCTTTACCTTCCAAACCCTTTTATTAAAATCCCCAACATATCTATACGACCTCATATCCAGACATTAACATACTAGATCACTCCACAGCAGCTCAACAGGTTTCCTAAACATTCCCGTTGCCGGATCCCGCCTGGCTGGCTGCGGTTTTCGTCACGCTACTCCGTATGTCTGGAATGTTCCTCGTTAAGTCTTTTCAAAAAGGGATTAAAGACTCATCTTTTTAACACGGGCTCCGGGCGCCTCTGAAGCAGCTGTGCGAATGGGCGCTTCATAAATGTTTATATTATTATTATTAAAATCACATTAATTACATTTACGTCAATTGTGCCCCGTTTTCTGATTAGCTGTACTCCACGTGTTATTTTCCTCGTGTTCTCTCTGTTCTTGGTGTCGGTCTTCCTCCTTATATCATTCTAAATGGGCGGCGAGACAGTGGTCTAGTCGATTGTGGAGTAGTGGTTTGAATATACATTGAGGTTGATTAGACTTCTGTTTTGTTTTTACTTCTTATATAATTTTTTCTTGACAATTTGTATATTGACTTCCCCACAATTGGCAATGACAATTGAAATCCTTCACTAGAATTAGCGTCTTAGATTATGCCTAAATTTTATGCCTAGAAAAGGTTTTCGAGTATGCCAAAATTTCCTCAGTATAGTTCCTCTATTTGGAGGTATGGGTTAGGGTTATTGAGCATTTATACTCCCTGTATCAATTCTATGGTTTATTACCAACTTAGCACATATGGTGTAGGTTTTATTGGTAGTGATTTTAATTGCTACTAAAGTGAAGTTGTGTTTGGTTTCTACAAATGAATAGGTTATTTTGCTACTGATACTCAACTCCAACAGAATGGTTTGATCAGGATGCTTTTGCGTAACATACAAAATTTTTTAAGTTTATTTGTTTGCTTAGCTGTAATTTAGATTCTTGAAGACAGATAATTTGAGGTTGATATTTGCAAAATAATATTTGTAATTGTAGTAGGTTGCTTTGTAATCTAATGATTTTTTTCATTAATCATGTTGGTTGAAAGTATAATATAATCTGTTTTTTCTCATCTCTTTTATAGATAAATGCATCAACGTTTGGATTGCGAAGAATTTTCGATATGGTAGGAAGTTGATTTTATTCACAATTTTCAAGTTTTTTTTTAGGCTTTACATGTTTTGTTACAATTTGCAAACAAAAACTATGATAACACTGATCCTTAATGCACTCCTATCTTAACACTAAAAGAGTGCGACATCCCTCCTCCGACCCTCACCTTTGTCTTCGCCCCTTCATACAGCTGCATCACAGCTTTAACAAGTCTCATTCACTCCTTTCTTCCTCAACGTCCATTCAATGACCTTTTTCTCGGTACTCGATCAAAAGCCTTTTCTAAATCCACAAAACACATGTACAATCTTCGTTTCTTCTTTCTATAATTCTCCTGCAACATTCTCACTATGAACAACGCATCCACCGTTCCCCTACCAGGCATAACCCACACTGCATTTAATTAACGGTCATCATATTTCTCAACCTCCTCTCAAGCACTTTCTCTACTTTCACACCCCTATATAACCCACAATATCTCACATCTCCTTTGCCCTTATACAACGGCACCAACACACTGTGTCGCTAATCTTCAGGTATACCTTCATCATCAAACATACTGTTTGCAATTCTCATCATAACTCCAATTCCTATAACCCTATCCGCCTTTATATGTTCCGCCGCCACTCCAGAAACGCCTGTCGCCTTACCTAGTTTCGTTTTTCTAACTGCTTTCTCTACTTCCTCCATCGTCACCTTCTCTTGCCAGATCCATCCTAAACATATCCATTCCCTATAACATCTTTCCTATCCCTCATTGACTGCTTGCTACTTTGAACATTTTCTTCGAACTCACATAAAATTCCATTTTCCTCATTAACCTATCTGATGCCGCTGCCCGTTTTGCAAGTTACTTAGCCTTCCTATACTCAGACTCAGCCTCTCACGTCATGTCCCACTGCCTCACTTCCAACACGTTTTCTACCAACTCTTCTCTTACCATGACACCTACTCCTCCCGTACCATCATCCCCTTCCACCACAACTTATATCTTCCACCTTCAGCCCCCACAAACCTTGTACCCTCACCCTTCCATCTGATCTCCTGTAATGCAGCCACGTCAACCATTCTCCTCTGCAACTCCTCCACCACTTCAAAGCTCCTTCCTGTCAGCGTGCTTACATTCCAGGTACCAAACCTCTAACCCCTTGGTCTAAAAGTAATCCTTCCATCCATAGTGCCTTGCACCACCACACTATAGAGTGGGGTGCCAGTAGCCAGACCATCCACAGGGCCTTGCACCGCAACCCCATGGACTGGGTCTCCGGGTCTAACCATTCTCCTCAGCAACTCCGCTTTGCACCGCCACACCATAGAGTGGGGTGCCAGACCATCCACAGAGCCTTGCACCGCAACCCCATGGACTGGGTCTCTGGGGATTCTTCGCAACCTCTTCTGCCGGATACTGAGGGCCATTGTCACTTCTGTCATCCTAAATATTTATATTGACTAATTTTTACGCAGGACGTCCTTTCTTACGCAACCACAGTTATAAGGGGTGGGCCTAGCCTTTGATGATCCAACATCACTCACAAGGCAATGAAGGTCAGTTTAATGTCACAACCAGGACAAACATATAAAACATATAAATATATATAAATATGATATTTATTTTTTACCATTTATTTTTAAATAATTTAATTTAAAAAACTGAAAATTAGATAAAAAAAAATTAAAAAACTCAAGCGTTAATGACATTAAATTAGTAAGTAAAAAATTATCACAAAATGCACAAAAACTTTTATTATTTGAGTTAAATTAATTTTTATAAATTAACAGTTTATAAACTAAAAAAGTTGAAATGAACCTTTGTTGACGTATGATGTAGTATGTTTTGTACAACATTGAGGCGGCTGGCGATTGAAATTGATTTCAAGATTAGAATAAATACATTCTTTCAACGTACGAAAGAGATTCATATTTGACAAGGCATAACGAGCTCTTGCTACTTTATCCATAAAATAATCGCCTAACAAATCACTGTGATGAAGATCTGAATAAATTTATAGTATATATTAATAACAGAAAAATATAAATGAAACTTTGGTCATTTTGAAAATAGAATAACCCAATTTAATCTCTTTTTTTTAGTTTTTTTTTGTATTATTGCTGCTCTGACATACGCAGAACCACAGATATTAAAGATATATTGTCTATATCTTTTTATTATGCTCTTCATATCTTCAACTATCTTCGCCACAAAGGCTGTTTATCCTTTTCAAACGATGTGCACATGTGTTTATGAGCATACTATGAGTATATGATATATACGCGCTGATGATGAGTATCCGCTGAGTATATGATAGCCATATATTTTGTATTTTTACCCCAAACGATGATGCAATAAATAAAATAAGGATAAATTAATGTAAAATATAAATTTAATAAAATTTTTTGTGGAAATAGTTTTCTTAGTTTATTTATAACACCAAGCTCCTTAAAAATTTTCTTTAAAATATCCAGAATATGTTCCTTCCAATTCAAATTACTTGACAGTGTTATACCCAATAATTTTATCGAATGAACTCTAGGGATTAAGTTATCATCAATAAAAATTTCAAAATTTATCAGGTTAGTAACAATAGATGGACCAAGCCAAATACATTTAGTCTTTAATAAATTTATCTTCAATTGATTGAATTTCATCCACGAAGAAGTTCTAACTAATTCCTCATTTAACGCTTGAGTTAACTCGATTATGGATTTACCATTCAACAAAATCGTTTTATCAAGATTTAAGCATGATGATGAATTCGTTAGATCATTTAAAAAAATGTTAAATAAAAGTGGTTCCAAGATGGAACCTTGTGGAACACCACATTTGATGGAACGAAGCGAAGAAACGGAATCACCCATTGAAACATTGTGTTCTGTTACTTAAGTAACTTACAAACCATTCATAAGTGGAACCTCTAATACCAACATTAAGAAGTTTCTTTAACAATAAGTCATGTCTTACAGTATCAAACGCTTTAGATATGTCCACAAACACTCCAATAGCCAAATCCTTAGATTCAATACTTTTCAAAACATAGTGATTTAAATTCAATATAGCTAATTCAATCAATCAATCAATCTTCGTTTTGCGTCCAGAGACACAGTTTCCCGAGGTAGGACGTTCTTTTCTTTGCCATCAACTTTTTGCGCAAAATTAGACGATCAATTGTATCCATTTCATTAAAATTTAGAGCTTTCATGTCTTCCTCGATTGTTTGCGACCAGGACTTCTTTGGACGGCCTTTGGGGCGTGTGCCAGGTACTTCAACATCTGCAAGAGAAGTTATGGCACTGTTTCCACTTCGTTTGACATGACCAAACCACCGCAGACAGTGTTGCCGGCATTCGTCCTTTATATCATCTAAACCAGCACGACGCAGGATTTCGGTAGATTTGATGTGGTCCTTCAGACTAATTCGTTGCATCCATCGGAGCATTTTCATGTCGGTTCGTTGAAGTTGTTGTTCCAGCTTGGTTGTCATTGGCCATGTTCCTGCACCATATAACAACACCGGACGTATCACAGATTTATAAAGTCTTGATCGTAGTGGTAGTGGGATGTCACGCCACATCAATATAGAGGCAAGGAGATGCCATTTATTCCAGGCTGCACGTATGCGTGCTCGAACGGCAGCTTCAGCTGTTCCAGTACAATCCAGAACATCCCCTAGATATTGGAACGATGTGACTTTCTCTATTTTAATGGCTTCAAAAACAGTGCTATTTTGAACTTGTATATATAACATTCAATATGCTATCTGAGAGTATCGGTTTGGTTATTTCTTCCATCACAGTGATGATAAACAGGGGACTGAGTATTGATCCCCGATGGACGCCGACGTTAGAGTTAGAAGCAAGCTCTCTACGTAGACTCCACCTGATTGTCTAACGAGACACTACCAAAAGCCTTTTCCAAGTCCACAAAGACATGGAAGAGTCGCTTTTGCTTTGCTAAGTATATTTCCTGCAGTTGACAAATGATATAGATAGCATCAATGGTGGATCTCCCTGCCATGAACTTGTAAACACCTATTGAAACGCACTTCTCTCAATGACTTTTTCAATAACTTTCAGAGGGTGTTCCAGAAGGATATGAAGAGCATTTCAGTGGATCTCCTTTTCTTTTATATATCGGCACAGTTGTGCTACTGTTCCATTCCACTGGTAGTATCGATTTACTCCACATCTCCTGACAGATGTGTAAAAGGGCTCTGAAGCCTGCCCCACCAAAAGCCTTGATGATATCGTTTGTAAGTCCAGACAGACCAGCTGCTTTACCAGCTTTATTGCCTTCAGCGCATCCGTAAGCTTTTCAGCTGTGATGCCCTAAATCGGTTCTTCCACCAGAAGTGCAGCAAAGTTCCCCACAATAGGCTTTGTTTCATTCAATAACTGATCGAAGTAATCCTTCACTTTATTCTGCAAAGTTGTTATGGTGCCTTTATTATTCATTATGCATGTGGCACCAATCCTTTTCCAGTCTTTTGGTCTGATTTGCAATTCGGTAGAGTGACCAAATTTGTTCGCCTTTACTTCCAGTCAGCCATATCTCATTCTGGGGTGCACTGGCTATGAGGCGCGTCCTCATAGGTGGTGGATAGGGGAAAGTCCTGGGCAGGGAGACCTTCTAGGATTGCATTGAATAGTGCGGAATAACATGCCGCGAACAAACAGAAGAAAGAAGACAACGGTGAAAAAGGCGGAGGATCCCAGGATAACGGCTCCAACAGCGGATGATCTTCTATTCTAGTCTTTTGGAACAAGGACCTTTGACATCTAACCAAAACCATGACATTGCTTACAATAGTGCTCTCTTGGCACGACATAAACTGCAACCGCGCCGCCTTGTGTGCTTCCAGTAAAAACGCTAGGCCGACTGTTTATAACTGTTGTTGCTAGAAATTGGACAATTCCAGATATAAAAATTTTTTGACCCAAACATCTTCCACCAAATATAAAGATATTCAAATTATTTTATTTATTAAATCAATTGAATATAAAATACTAACTAAATTAAAAAAAAAATATCTGTCATAAAAACATATTTTATATATTATTTTGTATACTCATAAAATAAAAAAAAATATGCCTATTATACCTTGAATGTGATTGATTTCTCCCATTGCTTCTAAATTAATTTGGCCTTCGATGCAAAGAACATCAAGTCTGTCAAAAAAGAAATCCCATGATAAAATATATTTGTTCGCTTTAGTTGACGGAAGTACAGAAGACAATTTAAACAGAAGATCTAATATCAATGTTCTGTCTTTAATGACAAAATCAAAATGCCTCTCCAGACAAAAGCGTATACACTGAAGTAAAATAATTATTTTAAAAAATTCCATGTATTTAAATAAAATTTATTTTGTCTCAAATAATTTGGGAGTAATTGAAACAAAAAATAATTAGAGAAAAAGAAAAATTAAGCAAAACCGATATCAGTCGCGTTTACTTTTTGCACAAAATAAAAAACTATTCGATATTTACATTTTCATCTAAAACAAACTGCTTTGAATTTGCCATGATAAATTAACAATACAAAAAACAAATGTTCATTATGTAATCTGCATAAATATGATACTATATGAATCTATAAAAAGCATTTTACCAAAAATAAAATATAACAAATATTGCTGGATGTCATGTGGAAACCTAAAAATTTTATCCCTGCTCCTAAGACTACAAAGTGGATGCACAGTTTCCTTGTTTTATGTGTTTATGGGACAATCGAAAAAAAGTGAAACATTATAAAAAAAAGTGTGGCCAATTAGTGAAATATTTAAAATTTATAAAAAAAAAACATTCAGAATGAACCAATCGTCAGTCCTCAAAAAGTATTGCTTTGGATCAAGATGGTTAGGGTTAGGGTTTTCTGCTCATTGTACATTTAATGTTAATTTGCTTTAGAGGTCAATAAAAGAATTGTCATTTGTGCAAAAACTTATGTATTACTCAATTTCTAATTTCAAATGTATTTACTTATTTATTGAAAAACTGACCAGAGGACCATAACATACCAATTATCTAGTCAGGATAAAAAAACACAACTTCTAAAAGAATAAACGCACGTCAATGAATTAAATCTAAAATGCAAGATATTAACAAACAGAAATCATCGCATAATAATGCAAATAATGAATGAGGCAACATAACAATATTAAAGATAAATACTTAATAACTGTAAGATTACAATAGAATTTGACATAATTATTTATGTACAAGAGTAAATTTTAAACATGTAACAAATAATATTGTGGGTGTAATAAAAAATTAGTTTGACGGTTATAATTAATGGGTAGATGACGATGGTAGATTGGTAAAAATGTTAATCGACAAAATTGGAGGAGAGCCATGTTTCATAACAGAAAATACATCTGGGTCGTTAACTGATAAAAATAAACTGAGATCGTTTTGTTTCTTCTAGATACTACGCACATTTGCCAAGGCCATACGAATCAGACCTTTATAATTTGTCTGAACGAAAGGGCTGGTCATTTTTAGAATTGGTGTCCACTGCTTTAATTCGACGCCTCCCCTGTCTCATCAAAAAAACTTGCTCTACTTGCCTCTTAGGGTTGATGAACGAAGAATCTTTGACGATGTAATCAGACGACGATGACTGTTGACGAACTGTTTAGAGTGGATTTTGGAACTCCAGATACGGCGAGTTTTTACAATTTCCTTTTTGACGGTGAGGTGGTTTTCGCATAGAAATGAAACCACATCTCTGTCATAACCCTGAAGCTCCAAACCTCAGACAATTACGTTTCGTGACCGACAAGGCCCAAGTATCAGCATTGAAAAATCCTTGAGTTTGACCACATGCTATTGACACTCTGAAACGCTGGCGCCAAGTGTTGACATTGCTGAGTGCAGTTCTTTCATGCAGTCAGTTACGGAATTTGACATACTTCTAACCGCAGATTCAAAACTATTACTTAACGCTTCTTTTGGTGGTTTCAAACGGTTTGTTAAATTAGGCTCTTTGAATGAGCCAGTGTTTTGCGCAGGTTATCGTTGGATTTCTCATTTATATGTTTCAGGTTAAGGTCAGACCTCCACTGTTCTTACCAAATTTTTGTTGGAGATTTTTTCTAAGTTTTCGTTTGATTTTTCCATTACTATATCATTTTATGCATTTTAACAAATTATCATTCGATTTGTCCAGAATTTTTGCTATCAGAACTTCAAAATTCTCAGCTGTTTTATTTTTAGACATGTCGGAGAAGCAGAAGTTAGGAACAAATTGAAACTTAGAAATTAAGTGAGTTTTTTAATTAAATTATGAAGTTTGAACAAAAACTTAATTGCAATAAAAGTTAATGAATTTGTTAATGACCGAATGTTAAAGCTGAAATAAATATAATTTATCAATTTATAAGACAGATAATTAAAGAAAAACACACAAAGTACGAAAAGCTAGGAACGAAGTAGAATCACCATCACTCATATTTAAAAAGTCAACAAAAATACTGAAGTCAGCAGAAATTTTTTTTTCATATATAAACATGCAAAATTAAAATTAATCAAAAATAGCAACGAAATAGTATTAAAAATATCATAAGACAATTTAATAGCCAATTATTAAAAAACTTTTTCAACACGAAATGATATTAAACCAGTCTGAGATGATGAAAGTGATTTAGAGAGCAATCAATCAATCAATCAACGTTTAGCGTCCGGAGACCCAGTTCTCCCGAGATAGGACGTTGTTTTCTTTTCCAGCTACTTCAACATCTGCAAGAGAAGTTATGGCACTGTTTCCACTTTGTTTGACATGACCAAACCACCTCAGACGGTGTTGCCGGCATTCGTCTCTTATATCATCAAGACCAGCACGACGCAGGATTTTGGTAGATTTGATGTGGTCCTTCAGACTAATTCGTTGCATCCATCGAAGCAATTTCATATCGGTTCGGTGAAGTTGTTGTTCCAGTTTGGTTGTCATTGGCCATGTTTCTGTACCATATAACAACACCGGACGTATCAGAGATTTATAAAGTCTTGATCGTAGTGGTAGTGGGATGTCACGCCACATCAATATAGAGGCAAGGAGATGCCATTTATTCCAGGCTTCACGTATGCTTGCTCGAACGGCAGCTTCAGCTGTTCCAGTACAATCCAGAACATTTACTAGATATTGGAACGATGTGACTTTCTCTACCTTAATGGCTTCAAAAACATTGTTATTTTGAATTTGTTGTTGTGGATTGATGCAAGCAGGACAAACAAAGTTGGACATTTTAGATAAATTACCAACTATTTTTAAACAAAGTTTGTGACACCACTGGTTACACTACTGACATTTGATTGAAATTTTACCTACCCCAGCTTTACAAACTGAACAGGGCCATCGTCCAGTAGCTGTGGATTGAATGGGTTCACCAGTGTTCATTGCTTTGGTTTTGCTGATGTTGACTTTAGATCCAAGATCGGCCAGTCTGGTGTTCCAATCTTCAAACATCCGTGCTGCATTCTGCTTGATCAAATGCTTTTTCAAGGTCTAACTTGACACCAAAAAAATCAATTTGCGTAGCTGATGGTCCACTTTTGTATGTTATGAGATGTTCTGATTGTGATGCACGACGTTATTCTTCTCTCAATGATTTTCTCGACAATTTTCAGGAAGTGTTCTAAAAGACGTATACCACAATATGATGAACAGTTCAATGGATCACCTTTGCCTTTGTATAGCGGGACTGTCATGCTATAGTTCCATTCAGTCGGCATTGAGCAATTTCTCCACACTTCACGACAAAGTTATAGTAACGTTTGGATACATGCAGTACCAGATGCTTTGATAATGTCATTTGGGAGTCTAGAGGGCCCTGCTGCTTTTCCATCCTTCATAGCTTTCAGAGCTTCTGTAAGCTCCTTTACAGTGATGTCTGGAATCGGATCTTCAATGGGTGGAGCGTCAAAGTTGACATTGATAGGATTTGTTACATTTAACAGACGATTGAAATATTCTTTCCACTGTAGCTTGATCTCATCTTGTCTTTTTTGTCGTTTTTGATAAATGAGCCACCAACTATGTCTTTTTTCGTACGCTTTGCTTGTTTTGCTATACGATACAGAGATTTCATTTGTTCACCTTTGCTTTTAGTGAGCCACTCTCTGCAGTGCGACTTGACGTCTTGCACAGTTGTTCTTCTCACGGAAAATTTTGTGGTCATCAACAGACTTTGATTTTTGTCATTGCTTTCTTTTCAGCTATTGCATTTTGTACACTGTCATTTCACCACCACATGTCCCGTTCATGCTGGCGTTTTGTACCAGTTTTTCCACAAACTGTAGTTGCAGCGTTTATCAAAACGGTTTTGTATGTACTCCAATCTGTACTGGATTGCGATTAGTGGTCTAACTGTGTTGCGACAATCTGTTGAAATTTTTCTCGATGAATATTGCTTTTCAGTTTCCTCGTTTTGATTCTCCAAGGCATTTGATTAGACTTATGTTTTGACAGTTCGACAACCAGGTCTGCCACAAGAAGTCTATGTTGGGCAACACATGATTCGCCAGGTATAACTTTGACATTCTTGAATAGCCTTCAGTGCTGTTGCTTGACAGCGAAAAAATCGATTTGCGTGGCTGATGGTCCACTTTTGTATTTTATGAGATGATCCAACCTCTTTCTAAAATATGTGCTCAGTAAACAAATCCAGTGACTTTCAGCAAACTCAAGGATGCGGTTGCCATCTTCATTCCGTTCTCCATAGCCAAAACCGCCAAGCACGTTGTCAAAACCATCTGTTTTCTATCCAACGTGGCCATTGAGATCGCCTCCAATCAGGATTGTTTCAGATTTTGGTATTGTTGAGATGGTGTCAGAGAACGCAGCACAGAAGTCATTTTTCATCTCTGCCAGAAAAAATAGTCATTATTTGCTTTTCTAAACGAAGCTTGATCCACATGAGACGTGAGTTAATCCTTTTAATATCCAGTACTTCTTGGGCTAGCGGTTCTTTGACAAAAATTGCAACACCATTTTTGGCCGTCTTTTGACCATTCCAAAATAGTTTATATTTTTCTTTGTCTGAATTTATATGACAGACACCATTCGATTTCCATTGGGTCTTCTGAAGGCAGCAGATGTCAATCCTACGCTCAAGCATTTTTGTGATTTCCATGCTGCGGCCAGTCAGTGATCCAACATTAAGCGTTCCAAGTCCAAGTACCATAGAGGGGCCATTCTGAATTTTTCTGCAACATCCCTCCGCTATTGCATGCTTCCCAGGGATTCTTAGCAGCCCTTGACCACTTAAAGCCTGCTGGGGACTAGGGGCCGTTGTTTTTCTTTGTGATGGCATAAGAATAATTTGGGGAAAAGTTTTTACATCCGGACACCCATCCTGACGACAACCACCAGTTATAAGCGGTGGGCCTAGCCTTTTGCTCAAAAGCACGCAAAGCAGCGTGGATGCAGTTTTATGTCATGCCAGGACTATGATTTAGAAAGTAAGAGTAATAGTTGAAGAATTCTCTAAAAATAGACCAGCATACGAGTGTTTAATGTATTAATACTCAAAAGGTATAGTAAAATACAAAAAAAGTCCAAGATCAAATCGCTTAGGCTTACATAAAATATCAAAATAATATTTCGAAAAATTATTAGAATGAGATTTGAACATCAAAATGCTTTGCTTTAAAACAAGTCTATATTTAGAAGATAATTAAGAAATTTAAGTAAACAAAGGAGACGTGAATCAAAGTGGGCAAAGTTGAAAGCTTAAAAGAATAGAAAAAAGCAAACTCAGGAGGCCTGAAATCGAGTGAGTTACATTAATCAATTCTAGATAAAAAATTCTAGATAAAACAAGAGAAGATTAGTGAAAATACAAGTAGTTGAAAAATATGATCATCAAGAAAATTACTATGCTCAAACATCCATGCGACACCAGAAGCAACAAACATTCAGTCAAAAGTCTATAAAATATCTTAGTGCACTTTTGCAAGGGGAAAAAAGTTATTAAAATACTTCAGCATTCATGCAAAATTTTTAAAACGATAAAAATTTTAAAACAAAAAATAACGACACAAATGACGACTCTGCATGCCTCTGCAACCAGCCTTTTCTTCATCAATCTCGACAGTCTCGTATCTTTTTCTTAAAATTCAACAACAGTTTTGAAAACAACAGAAACACCACTTCCAGGTAGAAAAATACCAAAAACCAAAGCAAGTTTTGGCTGAAGCAAACCCTTATTTCCAATATCAAAAAACTTGCAAATTTCAACAACTTTCACGAATTACAAATCGAATTTCAAAAAGTAGTATAAATAATTTGCAAAATAATTTTACTATGAAATAATTAAATCTCCAACTTCCAATAATGAAATCAACTCAAATAAATTTATTAGAATATTAAAAAACAAGAAGACACAACTTAAACATTTAGACTTCATCAACTATAAAACTGATAAATAATTTTTAAAAACCAGTAAAAAAATCAGACTAAAATTAAAATAGAAAAAAGTATTTTCTATGTATTTTAATAAATTTAACTCAATAAAAATAAAAATTTTGGAAGAGATGCAACCAGGTTAGCTAGTGGAATTATAATGAGTGTTGCGCAACCGGACTGAAAAAAGCATTCTACAAACAAAATCAGCTATTGATAGAACTCAGATACGCATGGGTGAACACTTTAAATATAAGGATTTCGATTGCATCTACACTAACGCTAAAGATTGCAGCTCTGTATACTGAAAAAAATGCTGTTGATTATTTATGCACTCGATACCAATGAAAGCTGCAAATAATAAGTTACATCCAATCTAGACTAACATTAGAGGTGTGAATTTCAACATTTCATTATTTTAGATTGAAACAACTTGCTTAACAATGCTGCTAGAATTTGACTGGCTCGGCCTGTAAGAGCATTTGCAAAAAAGCATGTACACTCTTATGAACTGGGTGGCATAAGGTCGCTGGGTGGTAAAACTTCGCAACGGACTCAAATCTAAAAACAATGAATATATGTGGAGCGAATCGACTAAAGAATACATCAAATTAAAATATTTGCTTCAGGAATTCAAAGACATTAAAATTTGAAATTAGAGCTACAAATAATTGAATTCGCTCCCCTAAGTTGTTAAGGCAGCAAAAAAACGATCAGCTCGTATCGAATTAATCGTTGGTTAAAAAATTTTTAAATTTGCTAAAAAAACCTATTATTCAGCAACTGTAAACAACTGTCAACAAATTTACCAAGCTTTACCGCTCAATGTCAATAAGCAAACCAACAAAAACTGCGGCTAAATTGATAAACAATTCGTCACAACAAAATTCTAACATTAATTTTACAAAAACATCTAAAAATGCGCAATTACAAAAGTTTTGACGGGTTATGAAGTTTGTTGCCCAGTTTCAACATTTTCAAGTCGTTTCGTTCTGACACGAACAGACACGAAAACACAATCGAACCGTTTGAATTAAAAATATGCCAAAACAAACTTAGGCCAAATATAAAAAGAACAAAATTAAAAATACTCTCACAATCTTCAATCTAATCCCAACAAAGATTACAATAATTTCAAACTTTTAATTAAAACCTTTGAAGTTTCAACAATAAGCTTTTAAAACACATTTGATCCATCACTAAAAAATTTAATTACCCATGGTATAAACAACGAGTGTTCTCATATACTTAATGAATAAACGACGAGCGAAATTGATTACACTGGTCAACATAAAAAATAGGTCTAAGGTTTTTTAGGTGATCATGGTCTATTCGCACTCGCTGAATTCGAAAATCATATTGGTTTTGGTAGTTTAGCTCAAAATTTTCATTTTATAACAAAATGTTTATTTTTTACTGTATAAGGCAAAATTTAGTATAATCGTGTACTATTGTCATTGTTTTTTTAAACGGATAATTACAATTGTTTGATATGTTTTTATTATTACAATAATGAAATATTTTCATAATTATTACTTTATACCATTATTTATTGCTAGGAAAACCATCATTTAACAACTGTCAACAATTTAATTCTTATTATTGCTTTGACATATTTTGTATTTCTTTGGTATTTTGTTCACCATCCAAAAAAATTTTCGGAAAAAGGTCTAGGTTATCTAAACTAATTTAATAAAGAAAAAAGTTATCAGGGAAGATGGAATTCAGTGATGATAGGGAGTTATTGGGGGATTCTAAAAAGAGGTATCCCTGATGCTGTACAGCTAGGGTTAAGCTTTCGCCCTAAAAAGTAGGGTAACGTGGGGCAAAACGCCGCATGGGGTAAAAAGCCTAAATCCAGTTTGCACGAATGTTGTTTAAGACCGAAAGTCGTTCAATTAATTTTTAAAAATTAGAACGTACCCTTATTATTTTGAATATAAAACCACGCCGTTTCTCCATTTGTTTTTTCTGTTTCTGAGTTTTATATAATTTGCTAGTAAAAAATTGGTCGTGTTATAAATTTTGTGTTCGGGTTTTTAATTAATTTCTTGATAAGATCGTTATTTGTGAAGAAAAGAGGTTTTTTATGAAGAAAAATCATTTTCACATATACAAAAGTAACTTCTAATCGGTTGGACCAATTTTTTGTATTTTTAAATTAAATTTATTCTTAACATTGTCTATGGGGGTAAAACGCCTCTGTAACTTGAGGCAAGAGGCCCAATTTACATTTATTGAACTATTTAACAAATTTCAGAAATTTGTATGTAGGCAGCTATTCTTGTATATAATTGTTAAAATGTATTGAAATTTATGTTTTATGTGTAAATTAATTTCATGTATTTTAATTTTTAAGGTATAAAATGGTCAGAAATTATGTAAAAAAATCTACAAGGTGCTCGACTTATGATGGCGATGGTGAAAGTTTGAAAAAAGCATTGGATGCTCTAACCAATGGCCAGTTACTTAGTAAAGTTATCAGAGAATATGGAGTTCCTGCAAGAACTTTAAGAAGACAGCAAAAAGCCATGACAACATCTCCGGGAACTATAAAGCTTAGTCGGTTGTCAAGCGATCTAAAGATTTGACTCCTTGTGGGGACATGTTCACAAATTTTTTGTAATGATTTCACAGGATTTCAATGAATAAAATTCCAAAAATGTAACATTTGGCATCTTAATTCCTGTATATGGCTGGAAGAAGACCGTCGTAGAACTTTTATTTGTATCAATAATTAACAATAAAAATAAAATTTTTATTTTCTTTTTATCTAATTTTTATTTTATGTACAATAAAACTGTTAAATTTTTTTACATTTTCGGATTTGAAACTATTTTTAAGGCTTATTTTAATAGTTTTTCTACACAGCCCTTTTATGGGGCAAAAAGCCCATTTTATAGAGGTCTACGGTTTGTGTTATAAAACATAGGAAACCTATGTTTGAACAATTTAATTTGTAAAATTAGATAAAGGACATATCAATCTAGTAAAATAATTACTAATTGTAGAAATATTCCATTTTTTAGATGTAGTCACTCATCAAAGGCTTAACTATGGCTTCTTGCCCCACCCTACCCTACATGTGATTCATCAAACTATCCATTTTTATATATCTATATAAATTTATCAACCCTTGTTAAATGTAATCAATATGTCGTTTTGTGCAATAATTTTATTCTCATAGAAATATTTTATGATGAGAATTATTGAAAAAATTCAGCCGATAAATGTTGCGAAAATGCTACATTTATCGGTTGTTTTACACATCAATGATTTATTATTTGAAATCCAGTATGCGTAAAAAATTGACCCAATTTTTAGAGAAATTATTTTTGAACTCAGTAGTCTCAAATTATCGGAAATTAGTTAAGACTAAAAATTTTTTTGGTAGGGTAATGAACCGTACTTTGCTAAAATACCTAAAAAGATACAAAATATGTCCAAAAAGCAACAATAATATCAATATTGCATTACTGTACTAATACAAACATTATAAATAATACCTATAAAATAATTGTAAATATACATTATAACAAAAACAAAATTTTGCATAATACAGTAAAAAATAAACATTTCGTTATAAATGAAAATTTGAGCTAAACTACTAAAACCACACAAACCGCATGGTTTTTGTTGGATTCAGCATGTGCGCATTGACTATAAGAAGCTAATAAATAAACCTTGGATTTCCGTAAAACTATTTTTTTGTAGGGTAGTGTTATTAACGTCCTACCTCGGGGAACTGGGTCTCTGGACGCTAAACGAAGATTGATTTGTAGTGTTATTAATAAATAATTTTACCTATTCTAAATAAAATAAATAAATATTCTAAATAAAATTCAAAGCAAAACATTTAAGTGTTGCATTGATTTTTATTTTATTTTTCTTAACGGTCATTTGCCAGTA